GGGGGGAGGGAGGGAGGGAGGGAGGGAGGGAGAGGGAGAGGGAGAGGAAGAGGGGGAGAGAGAGAGAGATGACTACATCCAACACAGTTGCAAACAAAATTCTGAAATGAAGTCCAACACTTTGATGCCATCGGGGTTTCAAACTAAGACTACAGTATATCAAGAGCCAGCCAGAGGCAGCTATTAGAGAGCTGGTAATTGATTGCTATCAAGGCTCGGTGGAGACATGATAGCAGTCTTCCAATCCTTGAAGGGCTGTCATAGGAAAAAGGGCACCAATTTATTCTCTATAGCACCTGAGACAGAGGTGGACTCAGGGGTGGGATTCTACCGGTTCTGTCCATCTCTGTAGAACCGGTTGCTCTGAAGAGCAGCAGACATAGAACTGGTTCTATGTCTGCTGTTGTTGTGGCTCACCCGCCCACCCGGGCTCTTACCTGACCTTTATTTCCTGCTTTTTCAACTGTAGCTGCTTTGCGCGACACAGTTGCGGTTGAAAAAGCAGGAAAAAAGGGCTTTTCCAATCGCTGAGCACTTGCACGCAGTGCTGCTCAGCTGTCCAGGCAGCTCAGCGGGTCGTAAATTGCCCTCACGCGATTCGCATAAGGATTGTCTTGGAAGGGTCCCCATGTTGGAGTAGCTCCTAGATTAGATTATTTCACATCAATTGAACCAGTGAGCTTCTGCATGAAAATTGTGCGCTTTCTGCAAAGATACGGGCCTTCTATGAAAAAAATTATTTAATCAAAACCATGCTGGATCAGACCAAGGATGGACAGCCAAATACTATGGTCAAGATAGCTGTAGATTTCTTTTTGTTGCTTTCCAGCTTCAGTCATTCTATCTGTTAGTAGTCCTATCTGACATCTTGAATTTTTCCTGCTTTGATGTGAAATAATCTAATCTAGGAGCTACGCCAAGACAATCCTTGTGCAGGTGTAAGTGATCCTGAATCGAACAAGCGAATACCTATGGATAACACATTCATGTACCTTTTTCACAAAATCATTAACCTTATGGTATTGTCCATGTGGACAATCGCTTTCTGTTCTCAGTGTGGTTTTATTTCCTTTAGGTAGGTGACTTTTCAAATTGAATTGCTTGGATGATGGCTTATTTTGAGGAATCTTGTTCACCATCTCCATGGGAGATTCTGGCTTAACATGCCTTCCTTGGGTGTCTTGAAAGTCAAAAAATGTCCGGACAACATCTTCCATATTCTCCAATCTGACTCCAACCTAAAAAACAGAACAGAATAGAATTCTTTATTGGTCAAGTGTCATTGGACAGACAAGGAATTTGCCTTCGGTGCATAAGCTCTCAGTGTACATAAAGATGCATAAATGATAATAAATCATGATCATCGTCATCATAATACATTCATCATGAATCATAAAATACAACACTTAGTGATAGTCATGGGATTATATTTAGAAGGCCACAAGCTCAGACATTCTGCTGCCTTAACTGAAGGACCATGTTGGCTCCCATCTTAAAACCCTGAATGCTTGGTAGACTAATTTACCTGTTTGCTTGCTTCCATATTTTGCCACTGAGGTTCTATAACCTTTCCTCGCTGATCCCATCCAATGAGAAGGACCATCAATGGAAGGGTTTATTCAATAGTTATGTGACATTGGTTGAATGCTTTTCTTTCAGCACTAAAGGAGGATCTTTTTTATTTTCTCAGGCATTTTAGGAAACCTTTAGAATGATTGAAAAACAATTTCGGAAGCTTTTATAGTTAATCTGATTTTATGCTTCGTGTCCATTATTATCATCAGTACACATTTACTATAATCTCATTTGTCTTTTGGTGCTATGATTATCACTTTATATTGGCTAGTATGATCTTTTATATGAAAGTGTTGACTGATAATGGTTCAGAAGACAGCTGCATAAATAAACACTTGCCATAACCCATTATTGACAAGAAGAACTCTCTCTTTCCCTGATCACAGAAGAGCTGTGAACAATAAATTAGGAAAAATTCTGCCTTATGTATAAATCAGTGCCAGCGGGAAGAAGTTTAGTTGCTGAAATTCTTGCAAACTATCAATTCATCTTGTTAGGAAGTCTCTGTTATGAGTCTAGCCTAGAGAAAAAAAATTACTCTTGACCTGAATTCACGGACTTTATTTAGTTATGAAAATTTATATTTCTGCTCACTTACTCTCCGTAACTCTGGGTGGCTTACAATATATTTTCAATGCATCCATATGTAGTCAGAAACTAATTTTCCAGCTTTTGGAAATCAGCAACAAAGCACAACATAGATTCAAACTGAAATGGTGAATTCTAATTCCACGTATGTAAGATGGATCTGGTTGATGGAAACTTGCTTTCAATATTGAAAATAAGGCAGACTTTTTTACGCTCTCTGAAGAAAGGAAGGTAGCTACGATTGTGGAGGACAAAGCTTTTGATGTCTGCAGGGTAGGAGCCAATTGATTGCTGTTGATTCCTACTTATCTAGAGGGACATCAGCCTGGGGATTCTGGTCATGGTTGGATCAATCATGACCTGACTTGGGAGGAAGAAGTTTCATCTGTTCCTAAGAATACAAATCTGGATTCCTGCACGTGACAAATTTATGCAGCATTATGCCTAATAATTGGTTCATGTGTCTTTCAGGTCACTTGCCTCTAAGAGGTTGATAGCCCGTCCCAGCAGATGGAGGGTGAAATTGGTCAGGATCGAACGTGGGATAAAAGAAGCAGGTGAGAAGATGACCTGAGCCTCAGCATTTCCACTGGCCATCGCTGGAATGGAAAGAGTCCCCAAAAATACTTCAGTTAGAAGAAAAACTTGTCTTGTTGAAGTGTCCAGTTGTGTATACAACACAGCTATATATATACCTGCCTTTAGTGTCCTGATCAGTGCAAGACACATGACAGACCAGGACATCATGGCAGTGAGACAGAACACAATTAATGTTGCTAATTTCTGGGCAACATTTGTTTAATTTGCACATATTTTAACCTTTATTTTATATTTTAAATTTGATGTTGCACAGTATGCCCTATTTTAATTGTGATGCTTCTGGCACAAATGAACAAACTGTGCATCTTGATTATACAGGCTCACATTTCAGATATGTGATTGTTAAGTGACTGTATTTTTTACACAGGTAGAAAATACCTGTATTTAAAAAGGCTCTAAACAAGAAGAATTAACATTCAGATTCTATAGACATTTTTTTTAATAAACTGAAAAAAACTCTACAGAAAATTTCGGATGTCTGAAGAAATGTAATTCAAGGCAGAGCTCAAACAGCCAATTATTGATCATTGTGTATTGCCCAAAGTTTAAGACTTAATGCATAAAAACACAAGGACTTAATATTCATTCATTTGTTCGTTCGTTCATTCATTCATTCATTCATTCATTCATTCATTCATAATGCATTCAGCTACCTGAGTGGAAGGTAACATCTGTGTAGGAAGAAAATTTCCATGTTTCCCAATCATATTCCTTGAGAAGGATGTCTTCAGGAAGAGAGTTCCTAAGATGCTGTTTTAGTGGGTCTTCTGTTCTTAAGAGCTCAGAAAGATGACTCCAGACAAAAGAGCCCACTCAAAAAATATATACAGACACACACACACAAACAACAACAAAACAGTTCAATTATTGGAAAACAGAAGCTAAACCTAATGCGGAATACAGCAAAATTGCTTCTAACTTGATGACTTCAGAGATGCTGGATTACTACGGTTACTTTCATCCTGCAAAAACCTAAAATGTTATGACAAGATTTTTACATTATGTACTTTGATTATCTGAGGCTGAATATTCGGGGCAAACTTAGGCACTATTCTTTATCAATCATAGTGTTCTAATTAAAGCCAACAAATTGCAGATTATTCAATCAACTGTTTAATCAAGATGAGGTTTAACAAAGATAGGTGAACATGCCTATAACCTCTCTGCAGATGTTTTGTACATTATAGTTCTTTCTAAGCGTGTCTTTCTAGAAGTAACGTCTCATTAAGTTCAGTCGCATTTTTTCCCAATTAAATATGGATATGTTTGCAGCTTAACTAATGCAATCATGTATTTATTCATAAATAAGTCCCTTACAATTCAGTGAAACTTGTAACCAAATTCTTGCACTTAGGATAATAGCCAATTCTTCCAGAGATGGGGAATATCTAGGGAAATAGATATTCTCCTCTTACCTTGGCTGGATCGCTCCTCCTGCAAAGTCCATTTAATGTGATTAAATAAATCTTTGCTAGGACATTTCATGGCCATAAGATACGAAGCAATTCTGATCTCAACATTCTCATCGTAGGTTTGAAACAGCTGGACCAATACAGCACGCTAACATGAAAGAATATAGGGTAAAGAAACAGTTTATCAAATGTTGGCCACATCTATTCATATCTCATTTCAATGTCCCAAGAACCTCATTAACAATAGATTAGCCTTAGTACAAGATTTTGCTAAGGTTTAATGTTCATATGTGAACAGTTCTTATTTTCTGCAGAAGAAACTAACTACTAGGTGTTGGGCAAGCAGCCATTGTGAACTCCTTATTTCACAACATGCATACAGGTTATGTTAACTATTGTTTGAAAAATCAATCGTGCCTTTGTAAGAGATTTTGGGAAGGAGGGAAATCCTAGGTTTTAAATTATGGCTTGCAAATTTAAAATTTCAAGTAAAGTATTTAAAGTAAAGTAGGAAAATGATGGTAAGGTAAGGTAAGGTAAAGTAAGGCAAGGCAATATGAGAGAGAAGAAAGAAGAGGAGAAGAGGAGTTAACCAATATATATATAGTGCAATTACACTTAGAATATTGCACTCAGTTCTGCTAACATCAAAACAGTGTTATAGAATTGGAAAAGATTAAGAGAGGATTATACTAATGCAAAGCTAGAATCCACTTTCTCTCTGAGGAAAGTTTAGAATAACTTGGTTTACCTAACAGCTAAGCTCTAAGGATTTGGGCTTTCATTGTGGAAACCCAAACACTGGGGTCTGAAAATCATGGCTTATGTCTATGCCCAATTTGAGTCTTTATTATCTAACAATCAAACCACGAATGGCTTCTTAAAGAACCGTGACTAAGATAATCATTGTTACCAATGTAGCATTTTAGCTCAGATCAAAAACTAGTGAAGAAAATACAACAATACAGTAGGAACTCGCTTTAGTAATACTAATACTAGATCCCAGGATCATCCAATGAATAGGAAGAGAGTTGGATCTTGTGGCTATATATTCAGATCCAGCAATCATGTCTTTAACACCTAATTTGCTCCTTTTTTCTCTACCAGACTGATGGTATATTTTATTTAAAATGGGATGGGGAATCAACTCTACATCACCTACGTTGGCTGCACAAGGGATGCGCCGGAAAGCTTCAATGGCTGCCAGCCGGATTTCAGTAGGGTTGGTTTTCAGCACCGCACAGGAACTCAGGAGTGTTGTCAAAGACGTTGCAGCCAGCCCCGCATTTCCAATCGCATTTAAGATCAGTTCCATCTGAGAAGCCCAAGTGAAGTTGAGTGAAACATCCCACAAATAAATCTGGAAGGACAACAACCCTCAAAACAAAAGGAGACTCGGTTTTCTTCACCTTTAACCAAACAGAAGACTCTACCTGAGCAGTTCCCTTCGATCTGGACCCAGTGCATTTCCTCCCTAGGCGTCTTCCCAGAATTTTCATAATTCTCAATACTGCTGGTACTTGGTCACAGTTGGTTCTTGTGGAGCAGAAGTGATGCAGCAAAGACGTTAATGCTAAGAACGCTATTTGCCGTTCTTTGGGTAACTCCAACAGAGGCTGACCAAGAGAGATAGAAAAATAAGTACATTACATTATATTATATAATTGGGGGATCAAGTTAGATTAAGATAGATCTGGAGATAAATGTAATGAAGAACCTCAAGAGAGAATCTGGACAGCATGGCAGAAGATCAAATACTGGGTTGTATTGGGCCAATGATGGGACCTAAAGGAAGGCATTTGATGCCAGACTTAATCAATTATAAAGATTTGGGGCAACCCAGGAGCTGAACTGTAGTGTCTCTATTTTTTTTACCTCCTTTCCTTAAGTTTGAGCACTTTTGACATACGAGCTAAAATTCTGATTCTCAAATTGATTCTCTCTTTATATATTTATTTTTCAAATGTACACCTGCACACTCCTGACAAAGCTAGCTGGTAGTGGTTCACAACATTAGACAACCAGGAAACAACATTAAAGCAACAAACCTATCAATAATCAGTCAGAAAACCAATCATATCACAGTTAAAAATAGCCATGTGTTCAAATATGTGAGTTTTATGCAGGAAATGAATGCCAACTTATAAACACAAGTGTACGATGATAAAAATTGACATCCAAAAAAACTACAGGACATTGTATTGCTTGTTCCTTATATGAATAATCATATACATTCTATACTGTACCCATGATTAGGTTTTCAGATAAAGTTAAACCATATGTCCTGTTTAAGATACACAATGTACCAGGTAAATCATTCAGCATACCCCAACCAAGAGACCAGCTGGCCAGCCAGCCAACCAACTAATCAACTGATTGACTGACCGTCCAATCATCCATCCATCCAACCAACTAACCAACCAACTAATCAACTGACCAACCAACTTATTGTGGATTTAAATGGTCATCTGGTTCATGCAACAACCTCTAATTTTCCTGATGATTCTGATTTACCCATTTTGGTTTCTAGACCCTGTTTTTTTAGATTATCCTTTTATGTGAATACAGCTGATACATCTAGACAAGCAGCCACAATCAAGCCATCTGTTATCCTGCTTACAGCTAAAGCATCGATCATGCCTGCAGTGGGCTCTGGAATGAAGGTGAGGGACCTCAGGAAATGGTCAATGCGGTCCTCTTCTACTTCTTGCAAAATAATCAGCTTTTTCATCAGGATGACGCAGGGTTCAGTTGCACAAACGGGAAGAGCATCCAAGAGAGGCCGCCTGAAAGAAATGCAAGAATGGTAACAAAATTGAGATATGTAAAGAATGGACAGTTTGCTAGGTTGCTTGTTTGATGGAGACCGATAGATTGATAGGGCTATCCAGTTGACACTGATAAACTCATACATTGAGACTGATAAACTCATATATTGAGATTCATAAGATGGTTGATATAGGTTGAGATTAGTTGAGACCAATAAACTGATACATTGAGATTTATAAGGTGATTGATAGGTTAAGATTCACAGAGCTGGAATGTTTTTGTTGTAAATTGCCCAGAGTCACTTAGGTGAGATGGACGGTATAGAAATTTAATAAATAAAAATAAAAAATAGGAATAACCTCAGCCCTAAGATAGGCAGACGGCTAATCTAGACAGGTTAGCCTTGTAAGAAGGCAAAGGGTATTTTTTTCCCAACCATGAATTCTACATTGTTGATTAGCCCCAGCTGGATTCTTACAACTAAGAAAACTCAATTCCCACAGGGGCTCATTTTAATAAATCATTTTAATAAATAAATTTTAATAAATAAATCGAATGATTTATTAAAAGGAAAATGGTGTAACAGAAACTGGAAACTGAATATGTATATACAGGTTATATTGGCCACCATCTATCATGATGTAAAGTTTGAGCTTCTCTGATACTCCTGAACCTCTTTTTGACTCTTTCTTGACTTCAAGAAGAATCACAGCTACTCATTTAGAAAAGATAAATCCATAGCAATCTTTTGCAAGCATCCTGTTTTGTTTTCAGAAATCCATCCCACCGAGGCTGAAAGATTTGATATAACAGAAATAATTCAGCTATCTTCTCCTTGGACTTAGGAGGTTTGTTTTTTTCATGAAATTCCACTAAATAGATCTCTCAGTAAGACACAATCAAATTCCTCTGGGGATCAACACAACCATCTACTGCTTAGGAGGAAAACTAGCTCTGAGCACTAGGCTTGGCATAAAGAGCTCAAAAGGACCTGTCTAAGTCTCTCAGTCTATGTCTCTGAACATATCTGGATGTGTTCTTGACATGGAATTAGTTGAATCTCTTCTGCATCTTACTCAAAGGTAGAGTACCTATTGCTGTAAGTGTAAACTCCCATCTATGTGGAGGAGAGTGAGAGATCTTGGGATTGTCTGATAAATCTTAATTAAATGTTCCACATTGCCTTCTGAGCTACTTCTGGGACCATTTTTTGCCACCTTACCAGTTATCTTGACATTTGGAAGAAGGACTCTGCCACAGATCCATCAAGACATCAGCGGAGACCTGTCGAAGTGCAAACACCAAATTCAGGAATAGATCTGTAGGCTGAGGAGAAAAAGAAGATCTGGATCAGTGTTTATACATTTAAAAATCAATAGTGTGGAAAATGTCTCCCAGTATCAAATTGGATGAAATGCAAAGCATCATAACCATGTGTTGGAAAGGATGTATTCTCAAGGGACTGGAAAAACTGCTGGAAAGAAAAATGAAGTCTTCAAAGCGGACTTAATTTCTGGTAACTCCATCTCATTGCAGTTTTCTTGATAGCGATGATGGTATGTGAGAAAGACCTTGAGAGAAGGAGCAAAAAAATGTGGTCTAGGGAATGGTCAGAAAAGAGAAAGCATAGCCTGCAACTGAATAATGGGCCAGGTAAGAAGCTCAGGAGGGACCTCCTTAGTTTCTCAGACTGTAAAAATGATGATGGTAGATCTGTACTTTCAGACTTGCAAGATTGATGTCAAGTACTGTAGATTAGACAGAAAATACAAACAGATGAGCTAATTCTATTTTATTTTAAAACTACATGAACAGAATCTTCCAAAACCTAACTGTCTTGAAATTTATAACATTGGGAAAGGTAGAAGGGAAGAGAAGAGAATGAGTAGAAACAAGGTGAATGGATTCCATTATAATGTTGATGGTACACTGGTAGAACATCAAAAGAACCAGGCTGGGGACATTCCATTCTGGAGAAGAGAAGAGTAGTTGGTTTCAGTCAACAATGACTTGATGTGAGCACACAAGATTACGTCCACATGTGAAGGCTCAATTAAACTGATTTATTTATAAAAACCTGTGCGCATGAACCTTCTCCACTAATCGTTGGCACCTGCTTAGAGTTAAGTAAGGGTCAGCAGCATTCAAGGGAAGCGGGCGTGGGATTTAGTTCATTTGTGGCTATGTAGGGATTCTAGGCAGATCCCTCTTTTAACCCCGACCCAGTGGTGGGATTCAATTTTTTTTACTACCGGTTCTGTGGGTGTGGCTTGGTGGGCATGGCATGGTTTGGTGGGCATGGCTTGGTGGGTTAGGGAATACCACCTCTGTCCCACTCTGTCAGGTGCAAGAAATAGGGAATTGGGGTTAGATCCAAAATGAGAACATATTTATTCCATGCTTCCTTTAAACAAGAATGGGAACTGCTTAGGGTCAAAGCGAATTGGTGGTAGATAAGAGTCAACAGAATCCAAGCTAGGCTGGACTTATATCTCTTGTGGACATGGCATGCTTGACTCCTCCTTTGGGCTCAGCTTGGTCATCTCCTTCATGCCTCCACGTTTTGCCATTCTTCTCCCACATTGGATGCAGAGGTAGTAACCAGCAGGTTCTGACCAGTTCTGGAGAACCGGTAGTGGAAATTTTGAGTAGTTTGGAGAACTGGCAAATCCCACCTCGGACTGGCCCTGCCAACCCCATCTATTCTTTGCCTCCCGAGTCCCAGTTGATAGGCTGGGTCTCCTTTGGTTGCCCTGCACAGGAGAACGGAGCTGGAAAGCAGGTTAGTGGGGTGGGGAGGGAATGGGGATTTTGCAGTATATCCTTCCCCTGCCATGCCCACCAAGCCCTGCCACACCCACCAACCATATCCACAGAACCATAGTAAAAAAATTTGAATCCCACCACTGACTTTATGATATATAATCAGCCCATTAAAAGGTTACTTAAGAGGGCACCAGGGAACAGAGGCAAGCTTTATGGATCCTTGTCTTCAAGCTATGTGCCACGGATGCTTCTCTAGGCATCAGCAATTAAAAAAGAAGAAGAAATGAACCCAAAATCTTGTCCCCTAACCCACAGGGAGTTCCCATCCCCCAAGCCAACTCTTTCTTCCCTATCTCCCTTTCTATAGCTTCCTCTTTCTCCCTGTCTGGCTCCAGGCCTTTGGCTCAATTCACAGCCCATTATTTAATCAGCATTTGCATTCCATCTGATGCCACAATGGGTGGGCAGCTACTCTATAGAGGCTCCCCTGTGAGTGACAAGCATTTCCTCCGCTGCTTTCAATGGGGAACGAGGGAGATTCCTCCCCACGCTTCTTTCATTCTTGTTTTGCTTGCCTGAATGGCGTGTATAATCTCACCCCATTTGGAAGCGAATAATAATAATAATAGCAGGGAGCAAGAGAGGCTATGCCTGGCTGGTAAAGACGGGGTTTCCAAGGCAATCTTGTGGACAATTCCCATAAGCAGACAATTCCTACACAAGAGGGTGTTTTTTTTTTAAAAGATGCAGATTTGGAGATTAGGAGAGTCAATTGGAGCAGAGAATATAACACAAGATGGCTAGGCCTACAAGATGTGGTCAACACAGGACAGAGGGAAAGTAGAGGTAGTCCTGAACTTACAAGAGTTTGCTTAGAGGCCATTCAAAGTTACAACAGCGCCGAAAAAAGACGATTTTTCACACTTACAACCCTAGCCACATTCCTGTGATCACCTAATCAAAATGGAGATGCTTGGTAACTGACTCGTACGTATGACGGTTGCAATGTGTCCCAGGAGGGGTCATGGGATCCCCTTTTGTGACCTTCTGACACAAAGTCAATGGGGAAGCCAGTTTCACTTAACAACTGGGTTACTAACCTATCAATCCCAGTGATTCGCTTAACAATGGTGGCAAGCAAGTTCATAAAATGGGGCCTGTGGGAGGAAACAAATAGGCTATTGATCTATCAGATTCAACAAGACATCTATCAGATGCATTTTCAAGACACCTGGAGCATCACTGGAAAACCATAGGCATTGACAAAATCCCCGTTGGTCAATTGCAAAAGGCAGCTTGACTTGGAAGAGCTCAAGAGACCTTTAAGACTATCAAACAAGAATATCTGCCTATCCCAAGTCCTTGGAAAGGACTCGTTAGGCAGATAAAAGTGCCAGATCTAGTCTAAACATCTGGCTGACTACACAACCAACCATAAATAACAACTATTAATAATTCATCTCTTTTTTTAAAGGTAGACACATGTTCTATCAACTCAGAGCACTGTTTAAGACAAGGCTCTTCAAACTTGGCCACTTCAAGACTTGTGGGCTTCAACTCCCAGAATTCCTCAGCTAACATGACTGGAGGAGGAATTCTGGGAGTTTAAGTCCACAAGTCTCGAAGCTGTCAAGTTTGAAGACCCCCGGTTTAAGGGATTAACAGAGTTGGAAGGGGCCTTGTAGGTCATCTAGTTTGGATCATCTTCAGCATGCTATCATATTGAGACATCCATTGAGTGAGTGGCTTATGAACCAATCATTTTTCTTCCAGGCTCAGATAACTTTCACACTTCAAACATCATGAGATCTTGCATATGGATGAATTTTTTTGTAAGAGTTTGGCATTCTTGGCAAAATCTGGTGATCTGAGATGGCCTACTAAATTGTGGACATATCATGCAGTGGAGAGGACTTCTACCCAACCTATTTTATTTGGAACAGAATGAAGGCAATCTTGAAGGTGTGACAAGTGCTCTAGAGTTGCTCTGTGTGGCCAGTCATGATAATTCAATAAGCTACCTCAGTCTCCATGGAAGATTTCATGCAGAGCTTCTGAAGAACCTTAGCTACTTCTTTCATTTCCTCCTCTTTGGACAGTGGTGCCATTTTCTCTTTTTCATAGAGCAGGCTGCTTTCATAGATGTCACTAGTGGGCACTAGAGAAATGAAACCAGCGTTATATTGGAAATACACAGAAAGCATCGTTCAAAGATGTTTGTTCCCCAACATGGAACAATAAGTTCCATTCTTCTTCCTTGGCGAATGGAAGTACTGAACCTATTTTGTTTTGGGATCCAAGGAGAAGCAACCTCTGTTAATCGCTGTCCAGAAACAGTGAATTAAAGCAGTAACAAATCGCTTTTCTTTGGCTCTACCCAACCGTAGGGTTGGCCATGCAACAGTCATCCTATTAATTCGTTCTTGCTTGGAGGCATTAACCAACCTTTTTCCTGGGATAAACTATGAGTTTCAGTTCGGAAGAGCTTCAGGTCTGTCCGAGTTTGCATCTTCACTCCGCTGCCCTTCCTTGCAGGAGGTGTAACAAGATGGGACTCCATACATTTGATTTCTGCAAGGATTCCTTTCTCCTCAAATCTCTGGACACATTCAAGTTTGGAAGACAGAAGCTGCTCCTGGGAGTGAACAGACGCACGTGATCTAGTACAGTGGTCGCCAACCAGTAGGCTGGGGACCACTGATGGTCTGTGAGAAAATTTTGTTGATCCGCAAAGAAATGTCACCCCCAGAGCACCCCCAAGGCAATTAATTCAGGCTGTGCGGGAACACAAGGCCCGCAGGAACACAAGGCTGCACCGCTTGCATTGCAAGCAACACGAGGTAGTGAGGGGAGGGGGGAAAGGGCGGAGGGGGGAACTTGCCCCATGTGCCCCATGCACCTTGCCTGGCCACTGGGCTGCTTCTTTCCGCTTCTTTCGTCTTCTGTTTTTGGCTGGATGCAAGGAAACCAGCAAAAGTCTTTCTTTCTCTCCCCCAAACTCCGCCAGAAATGAGTTTTTGGGACCCTGAAAGGCCTCCTGCTCCAAGAGGCTGCACCGGCAAAGACTCATTTCTAGCAGAGTTTGGGGGAGAGAAAGAAAGACTTCTGCTGCTTCTGCTGCTTTCTTTGCATGAAGCCAAAGGTCTCTCTCTCTCTCTCTCTCTCTCTCTCTCTCTCTCTCTCTCTCTCTCTCTCTCTCAGAACGGAGCTGGAGACAATATCCTATGATCCCAAATAAAGAATGATCGATCAGTAGGAAAACAGGGTGGGAAATTTTCCTGCAGACTTTTAGGGGATTTTTCCAGGGTCTCTGGTCCATGGGATTAAAATTATTATTTTGTATTTATCTATCTGTCTATCTATCTATCTATCTATCTATCTATCTATCTATCTATCTATCTATTTATTTGTCAATTGCTTACAAGATAATAGGTATAAGTAAAAAACATAGTTATGAATACATGGATACATATAAGAAAAATAAAAAAAATAAAAGAAACAATAGGACAGGGACGGTAGGCACATTGGTGTGCTTATGAGTTTGGTGGTCCCTGAGGTCCAAATGGTTGGCAACCTCTGATCTAGTGGATGAGTCATGAACATCTAATCAATGCCATTTTAGTCACAATAAAATGGAGGCCAATTATTTTTCATTTAAATTATTATTATTTTATTTAAATGCTATTTCTAACTGGCAGCGTAATTGCTAAAAAACACCCCAAAGCAGGACACTGTTAAAGAAAAAAAAAATTACAAGTTACCGATGCATTCGGAAGAGCCACCGATCTCAGAGACGTAAATCCAGAAAAATGGTGAGAACACAAGTTGAAATCTTTCATCTTCAGAAGGACCGTACCTTTCTGCTGGTACCGAGTGAGACATTTCCCTGAAATATCCACCTGAATTAACAGTAGGTAAGAATAAAAAGAATAGAATAGAGCTGTAAGGGACCTTGGAGGTCATCTAGTCCACCCCCCTGCTCAAGCAGAAGTCCCTATATCATTTCAGACAAGCGACTGTCCAATATTGTTTTCTTTTGCAAGGAAAACAAAGTCGGGATTACCGTCCTTAGTTACCCAAAATTCTAACCCATAGCTTAACAGAAATAAAGGAGATAGGTGAGAAATGGCACTAAAAATGGTAGGTCAGGAATGAGACGCTTGTGGGCCATGGACCTCATCCAGTTTGTTAGGCTGACTAATCTGAGTTATCTTTCACTGTCCTGGCTGTCTCCCATCAGACTTATATGTGTCACACTTGCTGACATTTGAATTGGGATGTTGCATTGATTGGTTCTCTCGGTGCCCTCCCCTTTCTAAAAAAATTTAGCAGCTGAGATATAAACAGTGACAACAATGGGACATAGGAGTATGGGGGTTACCAAACTCACAATGCACAGCCTTATGAATGGGCTAAACTCAGCATTGTGATCTAAAGAGCTTCACCTCTTCCACACTGTTGTTGGGAGCCACAGATGATGTCTGCAGAGTGCTCAAGATACCCCGTTTGATGTTTAGGGCCCAAGTGGACTCATTCTTCTGGGGAAAGATCTTCAGAACTTTCCCATTATGAAAACAAAACCAGAGTGGGTATTGCTCCAAAATTTCCCTAGAAGACAATAAGAAGGAGATTTTGTGAGCTCAGGAAATGTGGGTATACTGAAAAAACGTGAAGACCTAACCCCCTGGAGAAGTCTACAATGCCGGAGAAGGAAAGAGAAGAAAAGGATGACCAACAACAAGGGGATGGACTCAATTACAGTGTGAAGAACCAGTTCAGAGGCAGATGGTCATGGAGAAAATCTATCCACGTGGCCTTTAAGAGTTGACATTAATTTGATAGCACATAATCAATCAATCAATCAGTACAAAGGTGTAGTTTTCTGCAGAAGGCTGAAATACTGAGAAAGGAGGAAAGAAAGAGAAGAAGAGGTCAATTAACAGAAAGATGGGTGGATTTAATTATAATGGTGATGGGGAAACCGCAGGAAAGTTGGACCTAGAGTTGTTTTACCTTAAACTGTCATTTTCATTCATCAACTTCACCTCGGATTCAAAGATGGTTTTGATCTGTACTCCTTGCAACTAGGAACAAGAGCAGATGTCAACACAATATAGTTTTCAAATGGCTGAAAATGGATGGATGGAAGAGAGAGAAGAGAGAGATAAAGACAACTTAGGATGAAGGAATGGATGGATGGATCGGTGGGTCGGTGGTAGATAGACAAATAGACAGATAGACAGACTGAACATGAGGAAAACAGTCCATAGATAATTTCTGAGTCAAACTTGAATCCAAAGAAGATCTGCACTTATTGTATGATGATTTTAGGGTTTTTAATATACACATGCACTTGCCCTGTCTCCATTGCTTATATATCCAGGGAGGAAAACTAATGCACCCTTGAATGATCCAACCCACTAGAATGCCCTACTCACTTTTAAAATTTGATGACAATTTGCCAATACATCAATCACGACTTTACTTTCTAGGGTGATGCCACTTCTTTGGTAGGCCCTTCGTTGAAGGAATGTAGTGGTAGATGTTGAGTAGCTATAGCTGAACCTGGATCCCACGGGAACAGCTGGTGTGCTAAAACCTGTGAAAGCAAAGAAAGGTTCTGAGACAGTGCCTTGATGGTACCCAGTTGTTTTAAGCAGCTTTGGAGGAAATCCTTTAGGTGGATGCAATAAATTAGTCCAAAATGGAATTCATTGTTGGAATCAGTGGTGGGATTCAAAATGTTTTTACTACCGGTTCTGTGGGCATGGCTTGGTGGGCATGGCAGGGGAAGGATACTATAAAATCTCCAGTCAGAGGTGGTATTGGCCGGTTCTCTGAACTACTCAAAATTTCCACTACCAGTTCTCCAGAACTGGTCAGAACCTACTGAATACCACCTCTGATTAGAATGCATTTCTATGCAACAACTACAGTAGTATTCAGCCAGTAGATGGCAGTGTTTACAAATTTAGATCTATAATATATACTCCATGCTCTTTTGTTCTAATTCCTGTTTCCTGTTACAGTAAAACAGTTAAGCAGTAAAGCACATGGTGACTGTACTCTTTGTTTGCTCTGTAGTGCTATATATAAACAGAATTTATAACACTATGTGATCAGGCATTAGAGAATATTAGATAGAGAGCTTTTGGAACTTTTCCTAAGTGTTCCCAGGTTATGGTCAAAACAGTGAAGATGACAGCTATGAAAACGCAGTCAAAGCTCAATCCACTTTTGTTGTACTGCTAATGTCTAAATATTTCAATAATAACTTTTAAAATGGGGCACTAGAGTGGACTGCCTTGGGAGTGCAAACACCAGTAGAAATATGATGGTCTCATCATTTGGAGACAGAGGAGGCATCCTACATTCCTGGGATCTCATTTTATGAAGTCCAGCTCAGAAGAAGAAAACAGACAGGGTGCCCACCAAAGGTTTGCATTGGTCCCATCCATTTCTTTCTTCAAACCAACCCATCATGGTTAAAACCCATCATCCTTCAAAGTGTCAATATGTCTAATGCTTCTACATTTCAATTAAAGGTTTAGTTCTTAAACAGACAGCCCAAATTCAGATGGCAGATATTTGGATTAACCAGTGAATAGACATGGAAAGGGGTAACCAGTGAATAGGCATGGAATGGGGTAATATCCCTTATATTTGGGCGTTTTCTTACTAAGAATTCATTTCATCATCTTACCTGCACACTGAGACAAACAAGAGTATTTGTGCCTGAAATTTTCTGGGTCTCCTGCAATGACAAACCAACAGCCACTGTTGGCAAAGCATTTGCAAGAAAGCCAGGGTGGTTCTGACGTGACTGTTTATTTCTCGTAGATCTAGGAAAACATTCAAGGAACAACATAACATTTGCAGAAAGTCATGTCGGTCGTCTTGGAAACCACCATGTTTACGCAAGGATGGGATGAATGGATTTAGCAGCGGGCGAAACAGCTCAGTTTGGAGAACAAGTGTCTGTTGTAGCAGAACTGGCTCCCAGCTCCAAGGCCAGAAGGATTAAGGCATCAACCACTTGTCTGATTAACTTTGGATGAGATCCAAGGCCTCACCTCCACTCTAAATATATCATCAGCTGGAGGGCTTCACATCAGGAAACTACAGTCTATGCCAGTGGTGGTTAACCTTTTCAGCACTGAGCGCTAAAACGGGAGCACGTGCATGCCAAAAAGGAACCCAGTGCTAAAACGCACATGCCGAAAACCGGAAGAGCAGCTCCCAATGCGCACATGTGCACTGGCCACCTGGTCTTTTGTCTTCTAACGTGCATGTGTGCACGAAGACCAACTGGCTGGCTGGTTTCTAACACGCACGTTGGCCAGCTGGTCTTCACGTGTGCATGCATATTAGAAACTGGAAGACCAGCTGGCCTGCGTGCACCGGATCTCTGGAAGAGCAACGGGCGATGGCTGGCATGCCTGGAGAGATGGCTCTGTATGCTATTTCCGGCATCCGTGCCATAGATTTGCCATCACGGGCCTATGTGAATATTAGTCAGTCCGCGTGAACATTGTTGGTGGAACTTGAATGATTATGGAGGCATCGATGTATATGTGAATATTAGGCACTGAACGTGAACACGGTTGGTGGAACTTAAATCATAATGGAGGCATAGATGTCTATGGTTCCCCCACGACTCCGAACCCAATGAATTCAATTTATCCCAAGCTACATTTTTAATCTACTAATCCACCTAAATGCTACTGTTTCCCATTAAGTGTTGAAAACGCAGAAGTAACGTTTGTCCAATAAACATGAATATTTGCTGAATTGGGAGGTGAGGAGAATCACTTTTTATTCAAAACACCAGCCAGTTTTCTCAGCCGATCTAAGAATAAACACCCCTCTGATTTTTTTTAGGGTGTACTTTACGATTAGGTTCCAGAACAAGTGCTTCTAACCACAGCAACTTCAAGGCACGGTGCAATTCTGTTCCCAGAATTCTCCAGCCAACATGCATACATGATGGCTGGGAAATTCTGGGAGTTGAAGTCCCTAACATGCTGTTTGGAGTTGATACAGCTGAGAAACATTACTATGACTTTTGAAATAAAACTTTAAGAGATCATATCAAATTTCTAAGGAGAAATTTTCTGACAGTGAGAGCAACTAAGCAATGGAACAACCTGCCCCCTGGAGTTGTTTTGTTTCTACCTATTTGGAGAAAAAGATCTCTATGTAACTCAATAAAATAAGAGAACCAGGGTGGATTGTAAAATCATGGCAGAAACCTTCCAACTAAAGACGCAATGGGTGGAAACTAACCAAGGAGAGAAGCAACTTAAAATTAAGGGGAAATTTTCTGACAGTGAGAACAATTAATCAGTGGGACAACTTGGCTCCAGAAGTTGTGGGTGCTCCAAAAACTGGAAGTTTTTAAAAAGATGTTGGAAAACCATTTGTCTGAAGTGGTGTAGGATTTCCTGACTAGGCAGGGAGTTGGACTAGAAGACCTCCAAAGTCCCTTCCAACTCTGTTATTCTATTCTATCTTTTGTTCTGATCCAGATGTTTTCCTGATTCCACTCCATTTCTGCATTCCGACAAGCCTCTTATTACCTAGCCCAAAATATAAATTCTCTCTGGATGATAAAGGAGGAGTTTCACAAGTGCTGAAAATTGTTTTGTGCAAAATTCAGAGGAAAAAAAAAACCCATTGGGGGGGGGGGGGGAGCTAAACCCTACTCTGTGTGTTCCTCCAGGAGACACAATTAAGAGCCTTTTCAACTGCCAGTTTGGGAAAATCCAGTTCTGTGTTGACAAAACAATTTATTCAAGTCAGATTCTCTCATGGTTTTTGTAACTTATTTCCTCAGCTTGATGAATGTATTTTATTTTTTTCTTTATGTACACTGAGAGCATCTGCAACAAAGACAAATCCCTTGTGTGTCCAATCACACTTGGCCAATAAAGAATTCTATTCTATTCTTAAATTCAGCTCGTCCTGTTTGCTGTATCAGATCGAATTTTCCTTTAGTGCTCGGGTGAGACCTTTAAAAGTTTTCCCCTAAAAGTTCATACGGCAATAAGCATGCACGCACTCTGGCTAATACACATTTCCTTCAATGCTTCTTTGCACACAAATATACAGTGTTTGCACCCTCTTAAATACCCTAAATTTTGAGTGAAACTTCCTAGTACACATGTTTAAGAAAACTCTTTTCTATGCAAATTTTGTACTTCTTTTTGTTTTATATTTTTATTAGACTTTTTGGTTACAATAAACGTAGGCAAAAAAAAAAGTTAGCGAGAAAAGGAAAAAAAGGAATGAAAAGAAAACACATAGTAATGCCTTTTGCTGTTTTATGGAGTAATTATCATCTCATTTCCCCTCCCATCCGCTTTGGCCCTTTTTAACCCCGAAATTATCAGTTCAGTCTTCTCTTCTTTCATCAAAGAAAGTCCATGTAAGATTTCCAGTTAGTCAAAAAAAAAAAGTCTTTGGATTCCCCCCTTTCCTTGACCAGGTAAGTGGTCTTCGGTTTTGACTGGGGACCACTACCAGAATAGCGAGAGAAACATAAACTGCAAAGCGGGCTATGTGGCATCTTAGGTAAGATTCAGAAAGCATGGAAAATTTACAAAACGGGTATTCAAAGCAAATGAAATCCTCTTTCTTTTTGAGATACCAACCACCTGGCTGGCTTTTGAATCCTTGAAGTTGCCAGGTGTGATTTAACTCAACTTTGGCCAATCTTGGTAGCTTATGGCCAGATCCCTCCCATATTAAATACTGCAAAGTCCCCTGTTAAAATAGCACGGCTGAATAAAATCAGATTAAATCACTGGCCAAAGGCTCTGAGAAGCATGCATGTACACACACACACACACACACACACACACACACACAGTGAGTTTCCACAGTTCCTTCTACTTACATTTTGAGATGCCAACCACAAACATAGAAAGCAGAGTCACCACTTGCTGTAGCTCCATGATTTTGGAAAACAGCTCATGCCTTAGCAAAACCACATCAGGCCTCTCCTTTCAGAGGCAACTCTGTGGCAGGAGGGCAGTGAAAGCAGATCCCCACTTTACAAAGAAGGGCTTGAGTATTCCAGCTTTTTTTTTTTTTGCAAGCTGGAGGAGGGGCTGAGAAGGGGTGAGACAGAGAGGGACAGAGAAAGAGAGAGAGAGAGAGAGAGAGACGGAGAGTTGACAATGAGAAGGCATCTCAACTGCCATGCGCTAGTTGGTTTTTTTGCTTCAGTAGATGATTGCCATCAAGGTTAGATCCAGGTGTGTTGGGCACCCATCACCCAGAGCCTCCGTGGGAATATGAGGTGGGGACAATAGCATCTTCTGGAAGGCCGAGATCTATTGAGTTTGCAATGTATACAAAAATATACCAAAAAAGGGATGTTGAGACTCTAGAAAGAGTGAAGAGAAGAGCAACAAAGGTGATTAGGGGGCTAAAGTGTATGATGAATGGTTGCAGGAATTGGAAATGCCTAATCCAAAAGTCTTCAAACCTGGCAAGCTTTAGATTTGTGGACTTCAACTCCCAGAATTCCTGAGCTAACATGACTGGAGGAGGAATTCTCGGAGTTGAAATCCACAAGTCTTAAAAACTGTCGAGTTTGAAGACCCCCTGCCCTAATCTAATGAAAAGAAGGATTAGGAGTGACATGATAGCAGTGTTCCAATATCTCAGAGGCTGCCCCAAAGAAGAGGGAGTCAAGCTATTCTCCAAAGCACCTGAAGGCAGGACAAGAAGCAACGGGTGGAAAGCTAATCAAGGAGAGAAGCAATTGAGAAATTTCCTGACAGTTAGAACCATTAACCAGTGGAATCACTTTCCTCCAGAAGTTGGGGGTGTTCCATCACTGGAGATTTTTAAGAAGACACTGGACTTCCATTTGTCTGGAGTGGTATAGGCTCTCCTGCTCAAGCAGTGGGTTGGACTAGAAGACCTCCAAGGTTCCCTTCCAACTCTGTCATTCTGATGTTCGGATATTTCAACCAGTCTCCAGCAGGATACAAATAATTGGCTTTGCATACCAGTTTAGCACGTACCATTTCTTGCAATTGCGTTGCTTTAAACTGGGGACAAAAGCAGCAGGGGCAGCGAAAGAGATTATGAGTAAATGGACGACATCTTTGACACGATCACACCAAAATACAGGCCATTGCAATGCGTCCTGGCAACCATCTGTGCAGTGTTTTCGGCTGGCAGGGACAACATCTGCTCGAGCCAGGTGTGGTGCAGCTCGCAGCACGGATCATGGTTCATGCATGCTGGCTTCGGCGCTGTGGTACAGCAAAGTATCATGCTGAAATTAAGCTGGGGAGATTCGGGCTTCTGTTCTCCATCTGCTCCTCACTTGCGCAGCAAGAGAAAGCATCAGTCGTTTCCCAAGCCAAGCATTGAGCTCTCCCTGCTCACAGCCAGAAAATTAAGCAAAGGTCCTTTTTCAAACAAAGCAGCCAGGCAGTCTGTTTCTTCTTCCAACTCGGTCACCTCACCAGCCCTGAGTCTGCCGCCATTTTGTAGAATAGTCCCTTCTGGACCGTCAGGGCTTCTGGGGTATCGAATTCGGCCACTTGTCCATTTTCCATCACTAAAATTCTGCAAATATTAGAAACAAGCAAGTTTAGTCTACAAGACCAGTGGATGAAAGCTACCGCGGTGACTGTCCTGACCCACGCCCTTTTCCAACAAATCAAACACAATCCAAAGAGAACAGAAACCTTGTAATGCTTCTGCAAAATAATTAGCTGTGGTAAGCACAAGCCTTGCCAAACTGTGCGAGACTTGCCAAAAGATAACAGACAAGAAATAATTTGCAATACAAGAATCTTCAAATACAAACTCAGGATACTGGAACGTCCACGAGGCTGGAGTTTCAAAACGTCTTTGCTTTCTGCAAAATACATTCATTTCACAGCTGGCTTTTATCTTCTTGAAGGAGGGGCCATTACCTTGCAACCTTACTCCCGAGTTGCCTGTGCTGTTGTAACTGCTCTTTCCTCCGAGCAATCCCTCGTGCAGGCGCACTTGGCACAGGCTCCTCGGGAAGCTCCTGCGCTAGGTAGTAATAGATAGAAAGATGAAGGTGTCTATTGATATTGCCTTCTGACTTGAGTTGAGGATGACCTTATATTCTTACTTTCCTCCTTTCTGTACTGCATCTTGCTTTCTATTTTTTGGCCCTTCGACAAATCTATATTCCTCTTTTCCAAAAATAGGTTCCAAAGGTGTCTCCTGCTATTTTTATTTTTCTGCTCCGATTTCAAATAATATCACCACATCTCCTTCTGTTTCATCAGGCCATTTTATCTATTTTTTTCTATTTCTATGTTATGTTAAGGTATTGAAATTTAAGAGCTGACCAGTTGCTGAAAGGCTGATGCAATGTAAGGCTGATGCAATGTAAGGCTGATGCAATAAGGATGAATCAGCATAGCATGGGTATTGCCCTTTTAAGATGAAGAATGGATCCACAGAAGTTTTAACTCTTTAAGAGGTGTCTATATAAAGGCAGCCATTAGAGGGCGTGTTCCCTCTCCTTGTGTCTGGTATCCATTGCAGAGTTCTCTGTGTAGAGTTAAGAAGATTGATTGCTTGTCAGGTATTTGCCTACCATGTATATTTCTGTATATGTCTTGTATATAAACCACTGTTAAATGTCTAAGCCTCTGTGTACTGTGTTTTGCTCCTGGGTTGCCTCATAATAGCCTCATGCTGCAAACACTCTAACAAGTTATCTATTTATTTGTCTTGGAAATCTTCTTCAAAGCCATCTCTTACCGGTCAAATTCCATCATGGCATTTAATCGATGGGCGATGGTCAGAACTGTGCACCCCTTGAAGTGACTCCTTATGGTAGCCTGAATCTGCAGGTCTGTTTCAAGGTCCACAGCTGCAGTGGCCTCATCCAGAATCAGGATTTTGGCTTTCTGAAGTAAACCCCGAGCCAGGCAGATGAGTTGCCGTTGACCAACACTGGAAGAAGAATGGTGGGACAATTAAAACCTGAGATCGTCCCTATGTGGTGACTTGGGGAGAGGAATCTGTTTGACCCAATACTTCTGTCTATGTTCTGACCCAGGCTTCGTCAAACGTAATTAAACACAAACTTGTTTTAGAAGCAAAAACTATTTTATTGCAACGCTGGGAATTACTTTCATTTCCAGCCAGAATTTATCTTAAACAGTTCCCCAAATAAGCACACACCTGTCAGGGCTGTGGAATGCTGCCAAAAACTGAAGTATCCAATTTAATTATAACAGAAACCCACCGAAGTACCTGAGATCTCCACCTCCTTCAGAGCACTCATAGGCCATCTGACCAGGCAAATCTGAAACAAAGGTCTTGAGTTGGGTCTGCTCCAAAGCAGACCAGATGTCCTCATCTGAGCATTGATTCAAGGGATCAAGGTTCTCTCTCACAGAACCCCCAAACAAGACTGGGTCCTGAGCACAGAGGGAAAAGAAATGCAAGCTGTGGGTGTCTATTTTCCATAGGACAGGAGCTAAGATATCCTTGGGGATCCAATAGATGAAGAAAGGTGAACACACTGATTAAACAAGGTTGCTAAACCTCTCTGGAGATTCTCAGTCATCCAGGTCAGGGGTCGCCAACTTTTTGGACCTCAGGGACCACCAAACTCATAATTTTAAATCCCACAGACCACTTAAGTGAATTTTGACTGGCGGTGGCTTGCTGACGTTGATGGGAAAGTCGGTCCCATATTCCAGAGCTGTAGGAGTCACAGGACTGGCCCTTTGGTCATCCCGGAGCAGCTGCTCCTCCACCCAGGTGCACCGGCCTGCCATGGACAGGAGGAGCTGCTCCGGGATGAGCGAAGGGCCAGTCCTGTGACTACTGCAGCTCTGGAATATGGGAGCGACTTTCCTACGAATGTCAGTAAGCCACCCCGGGGTGGATTTCCCTTCCCTGCTGTTGGTCTTACCTTCCAGTTCCAGCTCACGTGGCTCTACTCAAGGTAAGGTTTGCACTCGGCCAAAGGGTGGGGGACAGTGGGTGGCTGGGCCATGTGGGCGACCCAGCCTTGTGTTCCTGCGTAGCCTGGATTAATTGCTTTGAGGGGGACATTTCTCTGCGGACCACCAAAATTTTCTCGTGGACCACCAGTGGTCCCCAGCCCACCGGTTGGTGACCACTGATCCAGGTCATGGTTGTCCCAAAGGTGCTTTTTCAAGAGGCAACTGGACTCTTTTTTTTTTGAAGACATTTGTGCTTCCCATAAGAACTGAAGACGGTTCTTGGATGAGAAGCGAAATGTCTTCAAAGAAAAACAAAACAAGTCCAGTTGTCTTTTGAAAAAGCACCTTTGGGAGAAGGTTGCTAAAGTATACAGGTATGAGAAGATGCAATCAAAAATGCGTATTTGACATTGACTCTGCGAGGCTTTGAAAGAAAATATATTGGAGAACTGATTTAAGAGGAATATGTGCCCCTGTGTAAATATTTAATTGCAATTCTTTTTTTGCCTTCTCACATTGATTTGTGTAGAGAATGAGGAGGCTGAGCCTGAGGGTGGGGTTAAATGTGCCATCAGTTTGGAATTGCTCCACAGCCACAAGAGACCCACCTCCAGTGGTGGGATTCAGCCGGTTCGCAACCGGTTGTTAACTTTCTGAGCAGATTGGTGAACTGATTGTTGGAAGAAATCATTAGGGCCGAGAACCGGTTGTTAAATTATTTGAATCCCACCACTGATCCACATCCACATCCACTCCCCCCCATGAATTCCGTTGACCCTCATCTAGTGCCAATTTGGCTTCACCATTAGTAGACCAGATTCTTATATATGGATAGCCTGTAAATGTAATAAATGTTTTGTGCTTTGAACTCAACTCAAGTTACTTGCGCCTGACAACTTGGTGTCATTGTGGTGTCCCATGTCCACTCGGACAACATCCTACAAGATGACGAGATGGAACGCAAACGACCTTGGGTCCCAACTGAATATCATACTGAAAGGCTGATTGAAACGTCGGTGTCTGTGGAAGATATGGCTCGGGATATCAACATTATTGGGGTGAATAGAACAATAAGTGAAAGACGTCCTACCTGTGGGACAATCGTAATCTTGCTTCTCAGGTTGTGCAGGCCCATTTGGGCAATGTTGATTCCATCGATCACAATCTCTCCATCAGCAGCTTCCACAAGTCTTAGAAGCCCCATGGCAAGGGACGATTTCCCAGCCCCTGTTCTTCCAACAATGCCCACCTACCAGAGAAAAAAAACAGAGGTTGGAGAAGGAAGGACCCCACCTGATGGGAAATGTGATGACCTGGGGCGTGGCGCAAAGGCAACACGGTCAAATAAGTAAGAAGTGTCCCTTTAGTATGTTCAAGTTACCTTCGGCTGGAGAAAAAAAACGCCTCCAAGAACAGTCTTTAAGGGGAGGAAATTCAGTCCAAAAACAAAGTACATACAAACTGTAAATAAAAATGCATGCAAACCACGGTGCAGCAATTAACTTGAACAGGGCAGGAGAAGGAATTGCAGACTTGAAAGGCCAGCAAAACACACACAGTTGGGAAGATGCCAGGAACCCAGCTAAGCCTCGACAATACCTGATAACTCATGATTTTCTTCCGACAAGTTGCTGTGCGCAACCTCCCTTTTTAAACACTGTGTTCCCAGCTGCAGCTAATTAAGGGAATCAGGGCCCTTTCCTACCCCATAAACCATGCAACTCACATTGCTCCCTTCTCTGTTCCTCCCTGCGTGCCCTAGGATGAAGAGGGGTGAGCCTGGGTCTTCCTCCAAAATCCCTCTGCCTTGCTCTACCTCTCTCCCCTGCTCTGCCCAGCTGGACTTTGCCCTTCCCCAGTTTCCTCCACAGCCAATGAAGCCACACTCCCATTCCCTGTCAGCTGCTCAGCCTCCCACTCAGAATCAGATTCCAACAGGGGCATGACAGGGAGACAAGGAGAGAGAATTACTCTTCCCTATCCTGCTTTCTCGAATATATAGGAGTCTCTCCTTATTATGTTCTCACCACAACCGTCCCATGAGCTTTGCTTAATAAAATAAAACCGGTTCAAATACACTTGTGGATTCACTGGTCCAGTAAGGACTTCCATCTGTATCTCATGGGTCCAAATCCAAGAGCTTAATCCCTATTGCATGTTGGATGTTTTAAGGGACCAAACTTTCTAGTGCAAGGAAGACAACTTTGGACTAGATCAGGGGTCTCCTAACTCGGTAACTTTAAGTCTGGTGGACTTCAACTCCCAGAACCCTCCCCATGCTGAGGAATTCTGGGAGTTGAAGTCCATAAATCTTAAAATTGCCAAGTTTGGAGACCTCTGGAGATTTTTCACAATGTCTGGGGAATTCTGGGAGTTAAAGTCAAGATCTCTTTGTTGTCCAGGATGACAAACACTGTCCTATTATGTCTGACCTTCTCTTGCGGTTTGATCTTTAGGTTGATATTCTTCAGAGCTAGACTCAATTCTGGCCTGTATCGCAAGCTATAGCCTCTGAATTCAATTGCCCCTTCAGTGGGCCAACTGACACCTTGGAAATGATTCTCCAAACTCCACGGAGCCTGAAAGAGATGCAACAACATTGTGAGCTCATATTAGCAAATCCCAAGAGAAGCTCAAAGAGGCAAAACTACCAAAACAAAAACAAAAAAAAAAACCCACCAATAAGGACTTAAAACTACTTGGGTTGGCTTTTTTCAGGAGTGTCAATGGCAGAACTTGCTTCCAACTCCAAGACTGGGATACATACTACACTGCATTGAACCATAGTATCACCTTTTCATTTTGAGATGATATGATACATGAACGGAATTATTCTGATTTGCCATCTAGGGGGTGTCCAGTCATATGCATGACCTTGAGGGATGAATGGAAAAGATAGCAATAACACTTAGACTTATATACCACTTCCCAGTGCTTTCCAGCCCTTTCTAAGTGGTTTACAGAATCAGCCTCTTGCCCGCAACAATCTGGGTCCTCATTTTACCCACCTTGGAAGGATGGAAGGCTGAGTCCAAACTTGAGCCAGTCAGGATTGAACTGCTAGCAGTCGGCAGAATTTGCCTGCAATACTGTATTCTAACACTGTGCACCATGGAAAGAAGGAAAGGAAAGGAAAGGGAAGGGAAGGGAAGGGAAGGGAAGAGAAGGGAAGGGAGGAAGGGAAGGGAAGGGAAGGGAAGGGAAGGGAAGGGAAGGGAAGGGAAGGGAAGGGAAGGGAAGGGAGGAAGGAAGGAAGGAAGGAAGGAAGGAAGGAAAAAGGAAGAGCAATAGCAATAGCACTTAGACTTATACACTGCTTCACAGAGCTTTACAGCCCTCTCTAAGCAATTTACAGAATCAGCCTCTTGCCCCCAACAATCTGGGTCCTCATTTTACCATTCTTGGAAGGGTGGAAGGTTGAGTCAACCTCGAGCTCATCAGAATCGAACTCGACTGTGGGCAGAGGTAGCCTGCAATGCTGCATTCTAACCACTGTGCTGCCAGGGCTCATATAAGTTGCTCCATAGGGAATGATCAGATAAAAGGGATAGGAGACCATAACTGCTTAACGGGCAAAGAAAGAAACTTAAGTAAGATCCATCTAATGTTTCAGACTGTTAAAAGTGACAGCGTGAGATTGGCCTTTTTAGATTTGCAAGATTCTGTTAATGCAGCTTTACAATAAAGTAGAATGAGATCATTTAGTGTCGTTCATGCATCATGCCACACCAAAAGGTGATAGATCATTCAAAAAGGAACCGTGGTGATGCAGTAGTTGGCTTGCAGTATTGCAGGCAAACTCTGCCCATTGCCAGCAGTTCGATCCTGACCAGCTCATAGTTGACTCAGCCTTCCATCCTTCTGAGGTTGGTAAAAGGAAGACCCATATTGTTGGGGGCAATATGCTGATTCTGTAAACCACTTAGAGAGGGCTGTAAAGCACTATGAGGTAGTGTATAATTCTAAGTGCTATTGTTATTTATTACTAGTTTAGGGCAGACAGAAAGACAGGTAAATAGATAGACAGACAGACAGGAGATTCGGGGTTAACTAAGGAAAGTGAGCTGGGCTATTTTGTGATTGAAGAGAAGAAAGACTTACCTCTTTGGGGGTCTGTGAATAATCTCTCACTCTTTCCACAGACATGATGTGGTTATCAAGTTCCGCTGAGGCACGCACCATCCAATTCAAAACGCCAGTGATCTGGCAAAAGAAGAAGGGCAATCTATGACCCCAGGCCACTGAAAGTTCCCACCATGCCTCAGAAGTTAAATGCATTGCCTAAAGTTCTATTACACTGCATACCCTCTGTCCATTGACCTCTGATAAGCCTCTGATCCTTCCAAGACAAATAGGGGGTCTCCAGCCTTGACTTGTGGACTTCAACTCCCAGAATTCCTCATCTAGACATGCTGGCTGAGGAATTCTGGGAGTTGAAGTCCACAATTCTTCAATTCTGGGAGTTGAAGTCCACAACTCTTAAAGATGCCAAGGTTGGAGATCCCTGCAGTAGAAGACACACAGCTCCAATAATTGAGAATCAGGGTGACAGTGAAAAAGGGGGAGGAATTTACAGCTGGTCCTCATCTTACGACCCCAATGGGGACAGAAATTTCCATTGCTGAGCAAAGCAGTTGCTAAATGAATCGAGCCCAATCTTATGATCCTTTTTCCATAGTTAAACAAATCACCGCGGTTGTTAATTGAACTATGTGGTCATTAAAGAAATCTGACTCCCCCCAATTGACGCTGCTTGTTGGAAGCCATCTGGAAAAGTTGCAAATGGTGATCACATGACCCATCACATTTTGAGCTTACCTGAAGAGCCCAGGAGATGGAAAAGCCCACCAGGCCAGGACTGAGATGGGGTTTGTATACCACGGCGAGTAAAGCTGCAAAGAGAACAATGGTGTTCCCCAGAATCTCAATGTTAGTGGCAAGCCATCTGGAATAGGAAAAGGGGGAGGGGAGGAAGGAAGGAAGGGAAGGGAAATGGATGGGGAAGGGAAGGAAGAAAAGGGAGGAAAGGGAGGGAAGGGAAGGAGGAAGATGGAAAATGGATGGGGAAGGGAAGGGAAGGGAGGGAAGGAAGGGAAGGGAGG